TACCTATTTAATTATTTTGAAAATAATAATTATTCTCCTTTTCAACTTCTCCCATACCTATTTAATTATTTTGGAAATAAAAATTATCCTTTAATTTATGTATTTCAAATGGAAAGATAACAAAATTATTTCATAATCTCTCCATTATAATTTCTCTCATCGATTTCCAAAAGAAAATATTAACACTTGCTTTCCTTTTCTCTCACTCAAAATATCAGATAATATTTTTCATGAGAATTGTGGTTATTTATCTATATCTTATATATTGTATTATATTATAACATAACCCAAAATAAATAAATAAATAAATCAGATATACAAATAGATAAAATTAGTAAATATTATTTTTATTTATTCAGTTAAAATCTTTCTTTTACTTCTCAATATCCAATTTTAAATTTTAAAAATCTTTAAATCCTGTCTCACACCATCATATTTTAAATCAATAAAACTCACATGTCTATTATATATCTAACTCACATCATGACTTATCTAAATAATAATAATTAAAAACAAATAGAAACCATAGATAAATTAAATTAAAAAAAAATAGAAATCCATAACTCCATCTTAAATAAATTGAAAATAAATAAATAATAAATAGAAATCACACAAAAATAAATAATATAAGAATTTAGATATAGATCTCAAAAAGATGTAACAATATCTAAATTTGAATTATGATTTAATAATAGAATTATCACTTAATGGGATAAATTAATCAATTTTTAAGTCTTATTTGAAGAATAATTTGATTAGTCATTCGAACTTCTAGACTTCATTGGCACTGGTAGAGGAGCTGACGGATTAGGCGGGGTGAGATCTAAGTTGCTGGGGGGGTAATATCCTACCACTCCATAAATTATTTGTGTTTTTAATTTTGTTATTTTCCCTGTGTAATTCTTTTTCTCTGTTGTTGGTTTGGTTTTGGTTTCGGTTTTTGTCACGACCCCAAACCGCCCCTAGTAGTTTGGTGCCGTGATGGCCAGTAATCCGGGATTACCGAAGGCCAACTTTCAAAATTCACACACAATCAGAGTATAAATATATGGGGCTCACAAGTGCGGAAGCAATAATCCAAAATACAAGTGGTCCATAAGAGCAATGCATAAGTCAAATGGAATGGCATACATCTTTACATAGCTTTAAAGCTTGAAATACAAATAAAATGAAGTACAAAATTACATATTACATCTTGGTAAAAGGCTTCTCAAGACGACATGTTCAACATACATGAAATACAAGTCAAGAAATATAAGCAAAATAAAATACATATTGCTTCTTGACTAAAAGGTTTCTTAAGCCGACATGTTCAAAATACATGAAATACAACTAAGAAGCATAATCTTCAAGATTGCCGACATCCTCACTGCCGACATAACATACATACAAAACACACATCTCGGCGTAGCCGACTTCTTGCTTGTTACCTACATATATACATAGGGAGGGTGAGCTTGGATACTCAGTGAATGGTATAAATAATAAAGGGGTTAAATGAATGATTCTCGAGGTCCTTTCAAAACATACATATCATAGCTTGTACAAAACATGAGATGAATCTAGTTCATCAACCTTGATCTTACAAAACTTACTTACTAACTTTGGATGTTAATAACATCTACATTATAGTGATCCCGGTTGTCCCTTTACTGTTCTGCTGTATTCCGGACTCAGTTCCGTGGAGTTGGTAGTCATATCTATCTTGTTGTCGTCCTTTAAATCCATTTGTTTGAGTTTTAGGATGTGTTGGGCATGTTTCGAACAGGTGGGTTGAACCTTGGTCTAATATCTTGTTGCCAGGTTTTTAGTCGTTCCGCTCGAGCGGGCCTGTTGCGCTCTAGCGGAGATTGCACGCTCCCAGTATTTTGGTGTTTTGCAGAACTTCTGCAAGCATGTTTTTCACGCTCGAGCGGGTTTCTTTACGCTCGAGCGGTGGCACTCGAGCGGGTACTCTGGCGCTCGAGCGGGTAGTACTTTTTGGTGTAAGTTCTGGGAGGGGGAAATCTACGCTCGAACGGACTGGTTTTCGCGCTCGAGCGGATGTACTTTATTCTTGTGTCTTGGCACTCAAGCGGGCATTATTGCACTTGAGCGGACCTAGTTTTTTGTTCTTGACGCTCGAGCGTTGTGTTCTCCGCTCGAGCGAAAATGTCGTATATCAGTTGGCAGCTGAGCATTTTAAAATCACTTTTTACATTCTCTCTCTCCCTCTTACTTTCTAAAAAGACATTTTGAGAGTTCCTCTCTCTAGAAACTCCCTTCTCTCTAGGGTTTGATCTAGTTAGAGTGTTTCCTTTTCCTTCGGCCTTTGTAAAAGTTGGGTTGATCGTCAAAGGCAACACTTTGATCCAAGAATATTGAGTTTTGGAGCACGTTGAGTTTCTTCACCTTCTTTCCTTGAGCTCTGAATTTGAGGTAGGGATTCTTACTCACTCTTATGGTCTTTGACATAGATTTTTGGTTGTTTTGATAAAGTGTTGAAGTTGGGTAATTTTGGGACTTAGGGTTTCAAAAGGTTAAAAGAGGGTTTTTGTTATTTTGATACTAAAAATGTGTATTATGAGTTTCAAAATAATGATATTGTTGTTGGTTGTTGATATATGGACCATTGGGTCAATATTGGAAAATGGGGAGAAAGTCCTAATTCGTTGTGTAAATTAATTGGTATAATTAATTTGGGAAAGGTGTTAATATTTGGAATTGAGTTGGAAATAATGAAATTGACTCATTATATGGTAGAATAGTGGAGTTGGAATTGTTAATCGCTCACTTTTGAAAACATTGATATTTTATCTGTTGGAGCTTTTATTATCTGTTTAGAAATAATTGCTTGGGCAACCGGTGGAGGGTAGTTTTGATTGTTGTAGACAATGCATGATGATTAGGCAAACTAAAACTAATCAATTGGATATGTCATAGAGTATGACGGTTGATAGAATACATTAATGTTATGTATTGATTGATTGTGTATATGACCTTTGTGTATATATGCATTGTGTGTGTGTGGGAGGAGATAGAGGATGTACTCCACGGTTTAGGGGAAGATAGGGGATGGACCTCTAAACCGGATGTTGTTCGGGAGGAGATAGAGGATGGACTCCACTGATACAGCTCATATGCTTGTCAGATATTGTGTTGATACAGCTTATATGCTTGTCATTGAAAGTATTGATACAGCTCATATGCTTGTCATGGGAAGTGTTGATATAGCTAATATGCATATCTGTTGAAATGTGGATATAGCTTGTATGCTTATCTGTTGAGATATTGATATAACCTGTGTGTTTATCTATTGTAAAAATGGAAAATGTTTAATATGAGTCTTTGTCTCATATAAGTGGTTGGCCAGGTTCTGAGCCATTGATGGAAATTGTGAAATTGATAGGAAATGGGAATGGATTATGAATCGGTTTATGAAAATTGAACATTTATCAATTGCTAATGTCTTAGTCATTGCTCATACTGTGTCTAGCATATCTCTACTGGGCTGTGGCTCACCCTATATGGGAATATCATTTTCAGGTACATGTAGCATGCCACCTCCAAGGACGTAGCTTAGGAGGCTAGAGGCGGGCAGACTTTTGTTGTTTAGTTTCTTGATGTATTACATGTATATTTAAGCCAAGGGCTTAATGTGTAAATGAGTTAGTACTCTTTTATTGTAACCAAGTGTTAACTTGGAAAGCTGTAAGCCTTTAGGGCATTTGCTTTTGTTGTTAACATGTAATATTTTTGGGAATGGAACTCTGATGAATAGAAGAATGTGGAACTTTTACATATCCAAGCATGTCTATATTGATGGGTTTAATGTTGTTTTTTTTTTGAGGGCGTTACAGGATGTAATTTTTGAAACCTCAGGGGGGTATCTGTAATTTAGCTAAATCTCAAGGGAGGTATATGTAATTTGCCCATTAGAATTTTATATTGAAGAATAATTTGTGAAAAAAAAAATATAAAGTGTATTGAAAGTAAATTATAATCCTAAATAATTTAATAGAGAATACCAAAAATGTGAGCATACTGAATGCTTTTGAGTGTAAATAGAATCCCCCTTTTAATCTAGAAAGCCATTCTAACTTTAATCAGTTGTTGTAACTCCCCAAACTTTGGTTAAGCATTATTGAATTCGATTTTTACTTAATAACTAAAATTTTAACTGTTTAATTAAATTATCAAATGTCACCTAATTAAATCTATATTGCATGTTGTTTTTAAGTAACATTTTTAGCTTTTTTGAGATCTACGACAATGGTAATTGAAAGCACTTGTATTAATTGTCTATTGTGTGTTTAGAAAATTCAAGGGTAAATTACACTTACCTCCCCTGAGATTTTTGACAAATACAGAAACCTCAATTGTTATTTCACTAATTATAGTAACCTCCCCTACTTTACCTGACAATATCTAGATTCTCCCATTTTTGGACTGTCGTTTACACACTTCACAGAATCTGCTAATGTCATCAAAGCTAAACACTATAAAATGCCCATAATGCTCTCAAGTATTCTCAATCCATCTATATATACCAATACCAAATGTTGGGTTCTCCAGATTCAGAAAATCAAAGTCAAAGAGTGAAAATTATAGAGGTAGTAAAAATTGTAGAACATAGAGTGTCTAACATATGATCGTTTATTTACCAAAAAAAGAAAGAAATAAAGACTTGAGACTTTTTGATAAGCATTATAACGGTGGCGAAAGAGACTAAAATAGTGAGGAACTTGAAAATGGTGAGAGCTAGCATTAGCTAAAATGAGTGCGGACCCTAAGTCCAGCCATTGAGGAAATGGGTCATTCCACATAGAACAATGAAGACAATGAATTCAAAGAGCACCCATTTGAACAAAAGGTTTTAGCAGCTAATGAGGTAAATAAGCTCAATTGGGATAGAGAAATAGGCAACTGTAATCAAGAAGTCACTCGCTTTTTGACATTCCAAAATGGTTTTTGTGCTCCAAAACCCTTTCTCATTTCAGTCACATTGGGGTAAATCATTATCAGCAACAGTAATAGAAAAGAGCAATAGTGAAATTAATAATCCAAATGCTAATGCCTTTAGCATTGCATCCAATGGATTGTTTCTTCAATCCATTTACAGATAAATTATGAATCTTTTTATACCCCAAGATTGAATTAAAGGCCAAGATAGGGAACCCTCTTGAATTAAAAACTGAGAACTCAAATTTCCAATACTCATTCCCTGTACAACAAAGTTCAACAAAATCAAAAACCCATTTCAAATTAAGAAATAGATTGAGTAGAAATAATATAGGAAGCATTTTGCACAACACCAACTTGCAATAATTTTATACCTACTATTATCAAACTCATGCCATAAACACTACAACAAAATGCACATTTGGCGACCAAAATTGGCAACTAAAAAAAATTTAGTCGCCAAAAATCCAACAGAATGGCGACTAATATTTTAGTAGGCAAAAGTAGCAGTATTAGCGACTGAAAGTGGCTTAGTCGCTGATGAGTGATATTGGCGACTAACATATTAGTCGCACAAAGGGTACATCAATTCATTTAACTCACATCTTTAGCTACTAAATCTTTTGTCGCCAAAAAATTAAATTATCTATGGCGACCAAATTAGTTGTCGCCAATAGTGGTATTTTAGCTACTAAATGTTTAGTCGCGGAAAGGTTGATTATTGTTTAGCTACTACATAGTTTAGTCGCCTATGACATATAATTATGTTTTGGCGACTAAATATTTAGTCGCCAAAAGTGTTTTGAGTTTTAGCTACTAAACAATTAGTCACCAAAACTGTTTTCAATTTGTTTTGGCTACTAAATATTTAGTCGCCAAATGATTCATTTTTTTTTTTGGCTACCAATTGTTTTGTCACCAAAAACGTCATTTTTTATTTTTGTTTTGTTTTTTTCATTTTAATAATTTTTTTCACAACCTGTATGTATTCACCGCAACCTGTAATAGGTATACAAACAAATCAATATATATATATTATCACCTATTCCATAATGCATGTTTCACTTACAACCATCAAACAAAAAAGAACACCTTACAATGTAAACTTATATACAAACCAACTAATATATTCCAATTACAAATAATAACGTCATACATAACAAATACATTACCAAAACAATGTCCTCCATACACAAAATATTTTTACTATACTATGCATTGTAATGACCAATTGGCATGGTACAAATTACCATGGTAATATGTACCACGACAATTAATACAAGTTCCAAAAGTATTATGTACCCCGCCAAAAATTATATGTACGATTCATCCAAATTCCACACAAAAGTAGAGGATGACAAAAGACTTCCCAAATGTTCAAAACTATGAATTATCCTCCATACAAAAAAATGGAAGATCCACATGTCAATGCCAAAAGCCATCTACACAACAAAAATTATCCCGATTAGTTCCATTGTAAACAAAAAGTTACAGCCATCTACAACAAAAAATTTTCCCCCAAGTGTGCTTTTTTGGAACCTGATTCAACCACAAAATTGAACACAAAATCAAAATCAAACCCACCCACCCAAAAATCAAACCCAATCAACAACAACAACAACAGATCTGATCACCCACAGATCAGAGCCAAAAAAAAAAAAAAAAGGAGCAACAAAAACAGATAATTTCATCACCCATCGTAGCACTAAAATATACTTTGGGTGGTTCATTCTCTGCATAACTTGTCGTAACCTGACAAACAAAATAGTATTACATCATAAAAATAGATCAATCAGAAAATAGGATTATATAGCAACGCCCAATTAGTACACATTAATGTGTGTTTGGGAGGGGAAAGATTGAGTACACACCTAACCTTTTGCATAATGCACAAAGTGGTGGCCCCAAGACTTGAAACCATAACCTTAAGGTTATTAGGCCAAGTCTTAACCATTGAACCAATGGCCCCTAAGAAAATAGGATTATATCATAAAAAAAAAAACAAAAACAAAAAAACTAGTTTGTATTTACTAGAATGTGAGCAAGTTTGGAACAGTAAACCAATTGAAATATATATTAGCATTAAAGAAAGATTCAAATAGTGTCTATTTGTTAAAGTGAAACGTAACAAATCTTAACAACATAATAGCAGATTTTGGGATTACCAACTGCCATACAAGTAGGACTTAGGGACACTGCATCTATGTTATGAATTTCAATTTAATTGTTTCACTTGGCAGAGATTGTTCATCAATGCAAATCACAGCCTTTACAACATGCATAGACTGTAAAACAATAATTATGATTTTACCAATCCTACCTCGTAAACCCTGGGTTGCTCTTGTAATTGGCTTTGAATGGGTTCTATATCAACTCCTTCCATGGGTGAAGCTGGTGCACGAATAGCTGCGTACTCTGACATCACGTCAGTTTTCTCTAAATTGTCATGATTGTCATAACGCTCCTTTTGTACACCCATATTTTCTTGTGATGGATGTACAATAGGAAAAGAGGGCTTCTCACACTCAAGCATCACAACTGTCTTATCAATTACTGGTTTGTCATCCACATCACTTTGATGTGCGTGATGGTCGTTGTTCCTATTTAATTCAGCACTTCCGGAAGTTAGAGAAGATTTCTTCACGTTCACTTTCTGTGTCATCTCTTTGGGTGCTGATGTGTTCCGGCCTACATCCAAAGGCCCTTTAGATGTTCTGATCTTAAGTTCAGGAAGTGTTGCAGCCTTGCTTTTATCAAGGTTTATAATATCAGATATGTCTTTCCTCTCAGGTTCGTGAAATTTTTATTGAATTTGATAGGATTTCACAAGTCAACACATTTGTGTTTTCAGGTGATAAAGCGACGACGTACAGAGGAGTGCAGACTTGATCAACAGGATTATACGAGAAGGTTTATTTCTTTCCCGTACACTTCACAAAATATCACTCTTACACTCAAGAGTTTGAGCTTGTTTCACACTAGATTAGTCTTGTACATCACTCTTGTATTGCATGATACCCAATACAATGAATATAAGATTGCGTATGCCTTCATGCCTAAGCTTGCGAGCTATCATTTCGATGTGTTTTTGGGGTTATTATGCCATGATATAACTCTGATTTTTTTTTTCTTAAGTCATTCCATGCTTGGTCTTTATAGGTGTAGTGTAATCCACCATGTTTGCCTTGTATGCATTGTGCCTTATGCTCTTCATGTTAGCTTGTTTTGGCTTCCTTCCATACATGTTTTAGAACTATTTTGGGTTGCCTTTCCCATATGTTTCATGCTTTGTATAGCTGTAGTGCAATTGGCCTTGCTAGCTTTGTGTTTTGTTGACTCATGCATGCTATCTTTGAGCTATTTAGATGATTTGGCATCATTTAATACTTCATTTCAGAGCTTATAGTATTGCCATGTTCCCACTTCTTTCATGCTTTGAATGCCTTTAAGTGTTGTGCATTGTTGTCTTACTTATGGCCTAACATGTATGCCATCTTGCCTAGGTCTTTGAGCCTCCATCTTAGCATGTTTTGGTCATTGTTTTGACCTATTTTAGCTCTATCCATGGTTGGTTCATGCACTTGTGCCATGTATTGCATGTCTCCTTTGTAGTCCTCTTTGCTAGCTTCTCGCTTTAAAGACCTTTGCATGCTATGCTTGCTTTGTTTGAATAATTTGGAATCATTTCTTACCTTATTTTAGTGCATTTAGTGTTGTCACACTTCCATGTTTATCACTCCTTGAGCACTCTAGAGAGTTGTGCTCTTAGGCCTAGTTGAATGGCCAATGCATTGTGCATGCATGCCTTGCCTTTTGTGCCTCTATTTTGATGTTATGGCCACTAATTTGGGCATGGCTGAGGTCTGTCCATTTTGGTTTAAGTCCATTGAGCATTGTATATACCATGTTACATCGCGTTGTGCATGTTATGTTGTTGTTTGCACTGTGCATGCTATGTTCTTGTTCATATTGTATGTCATGTAGTTCATTGCATTGAGTATGCCATGTTGTTTGCATGATTGATTTAGCATTGTGTACGCCATGTAGTTCATAGCATTGTGTATGCCATTGTTCATGTTGCATTGCATGCCTAAGTCATATTGCATATTTGCATGCTTGTGTTGCATTGCATTTTTGCATGCTCCATGTTACATAGCATTGTGCATGCCATGTTATGTGTTGCATTGTGTTTGGAATAGGTGTTAGTCCAAACACGGGAAATGAGAGGCGTTTTGCATGCCTAAGTCATATTGCATATTTGCATGCTTGTGTTGCATTGCATTTTTGCATGCTCCATGTTACATAGCATTGTGCATGCCATGTTATATGTTGCATTGTGTTTGGAATAGGTGTTAGTCCAAACACGGGAAACGAGAGACGTTTCATACTTGAAGTGATGAAACATGCCACAATTCTCGGTCAGCAACACTCTTGATCATACATGATAGAGTTTTAGGCCTTATGTGTTTATGTGTGCATTCATTTTCATATTGAATTGTGCAACTTCGCCTCTCAGCCATCATGCATTGAAATGCGCGATTGGTGGCCCGAGGGTTGAGAACCACACTCCCTTGAGCTTATGAAATGATAAGGAGGATGGTTGTGCACACATATCTTGCAAATACATTGCCATGCCCTTTCTTGCTCTCTGTTGCAGCAAACTGGAGAAATGAAGCAACAACTGGTCGGCCAGCCAGAAAAACTAGCTGACCGACCACTTTTTCTGGTTTACAACAAAGATAGGTGGTCGGCCTGTCACGCCCCAAACTCACCCCTAGAAGTTTGGGTATGACCACTTCAAAAACGGACATAAAATTCGGAATACCTACATATGGGGCCTGACCAGAAGCATTATATATTATAAAATAACATGAAATAAAAAGAAACTACATCCATTGAGCGACCACTATCATGCCAGGATCACAAACAGTGCATCAGATGATACATATTTATATACACATATAACATTCCGCCCCTTGTTTGGGCGAATAACAAAAACATTGGCAACTTCAACATGTTATAGACAATCAAAGTATAAGTCAAACTTAGTATAATTCATAAAAACGGGTAGGCTTCACCCAAATGCTTGGTCATACAAAGGCTGACAAAGGGAGACGAGCATCGAGGGTTATGGCTGACCTCCAGAGTTATTACCTACAGAATCAGACAAAATACAGAGTGAGACAATTACAGTGAATAATAGTACTTAAATAACTCAATGTTCAACTTGCATTATGATGCGGAGCAATGTGTATATAATGTAAGAGACGGGTAGTTAATCTGATTCTGTACTCATATTCAAAACGGCCTTGTTGATTCACAACGTCATAGATTGGCCCTTGGCTTGGTGGGTTCACATATTCACAAATTGGCCCTCAGCCTCATAGATTCATAACTTCATAACACAAATTGGCCCTTAACAGAACGGTATTAAGCCCTTATTAGAATGGCATTAAGCCCTTATTAGAATGTATGAACTCAAGAGGTAGCTCGCACGGATTCTAGAGGTGACTCGCATGGCAGCACTTAGTTTCGTGCAGCACTTTGTTTCATACTAACAGATCATACAGAATGGCCATAGGCCCGGATGTCACCAATTGGCTATAGGCCTCACAGATATTACAGAACGGCCATAGGCCTCATAACTTTTACATCAGCTTTAAGCCCAGTTCACATATGTATGGACTCAAGAGATGGCTCATATGGATTCTAGAGGTGGCTCGCATTGCAGCACTTAGCTCCGTACAACACTTTGTTCCACACCAAAAATCATTAGGCCTTAAAGACCGCACAATCCAAAACATGCCGGAACATGAATAGAAGCAGAATAGTCTCAGTTTCCTAAGAATACCATAGTGCACATAAGTTTCTCATGGTTTAGTTTCAGATTAATATGGTTGTCTCGCGTATAACAAAATAAGAATAATAACTATTACAGAGCGCACATAATAACGTTAAACCTTCGCATTTATACCATAGAATCTGAATGACCTCGGCTCCATATGGAACACAACAGAATTATTTCATATTCATACGGATACACATAACTTTTGTATTACTCTGGCTCTTCGAAAATATTCATATTCATTGACTTATACCTGGACGGCCTCAGGCCCATTAGTAGCAAAACAGTATGCTCTTATATTTACACTGAAACCGTTATTCAAGAATGAACATAAGTTCCCTTTTATTCCTTAAGAACAACGTAACTTACTTACGGAGAATAGAATGTTCATATCAACTATTAATCAGAAGCATACAGAAGTATATACATTTATTTCATCTTTCATATCACCGTTTCATCATATTTGTTTATTCATTAATGGCACCAAAATATGTTCATCGTTCTCGACAATTTTATACAAATGTTAATGTAATCATTTACGAAGCACAGAACGTCAATAACATTAATCATTAACGATAATATCGTTCGATTACAGTACTACTACTCACAGTGTTGTGATGACACACTAGCTCCACCCGAAGTACGTCATGCACACATTCACAACTTGCCATTTAGTTCATCTTTCTTTGTTGAGTCATTCCCTGAGTCATTTCACTTCAAACGTATTTTACAACATTAGTAGGCATAAAATACAATTTCTAAAAATATCCGAGGGTCGAACACGCAAAACGGAGCAAACCTTTTTTCTCAGCTTGGGCCGCACGTGCGGCTGTAAGCCCCGCACGTGTGGCAAATACCCCCGCATGTGCGGCAGTGATGCCCCGCACGTGCTTTTTTAGCAGTGTTCAAAATGCCAAAATTCCTCATTCCCCGCACGTGCGGCCATGACTCCCGCACGTGCGGTTGGGGTTCCCGCACGTGCTGCCATGACCCCCGCACATGCGGTGATTCTGTGCTGAACAGTCCGAAAATTGCAACAAAATCTCATCTTTTGGTGGATGTTTTCAAGGCTCAAATTAGCATTCTTAATTGATAGAACATGGTCTAAAAACATGTTAATAGGAGCTTCAAACATGCACATCAATCTAGATATACACTGGCTCTTGAATTCTTAAACACAACCTAGTTTTCTTTTACATTGAACAACACATATAACATCACTTCATGACCTTCATGAGAAAATAAGAAACTAAAGATAGTTCCCACACATATAGGCATAAGCAACTTAGTTCAAAATCACCCAATTGACAAACCTTAATCCAAGTCTAGCAATACTTACACCCTAAGTTCAAATTCAAGTCCTAGGTTACACAATTATGGTTGAATCACTCCCAATTCAAGAGTATAGAAGATAAACAAACTTACTTTGAATTTAGATCTCCCAAATTCCCTCTAGATTAGTCAATCTTCAATCTTTACTCTTTGTTGCAACTCCCTTCTAACTTCTCTACACTTCTACTTTCCTTTCCCAGAAATTATGTTGAACTAAGTCCTAGCTAAGGAACTCACATACATATATATCTAATGGAGATAGAGATGAAATTTAATCAGTTTAATCGTTCCAAATTGAATTTTCACAAAAGTGCTTCTTATTACTTAAAAATTACGCTGATTCCAAATACAAAAGCAATTTCAGATAATTAGGCTTCCAAGGCCCTCAATTTCTGATCCAAACATTATAATCATAACAAATATTTTTCTTATCAAAGAGATACGCATCCTTAATCATAGGATTCACTTAATTAATCTTAATTTCACATAAAATTTCACAATAAGCATTTGAATGCACAGAACGTGGGATTGATATGATACCAGAAACACATATGAGGGTCGGGTTATTACACAGCCAGTGGCTGGCAACACCCCAAGGTGGTCGGCCACCC